ACTCAGAGCTGAATTATCCTTTGGGTATATGCACACAGAGACCAGGATGAGCTTTGGGGACTCTTGGAGAGTATTGAGTTAAGAGCTTTCTTTTAAATTTGGGAAAAACTGAGTCTCCGAGTGGAGGGGCTTGCTCAGAGTTCCACAGCAGTTTCTTAAGTAGCAAGACCAATAAATGGGTCCTGGCTGGGCTTTGTGTCCTGCTTCCCCACCGAGAGTGCTGAGCACTCACCACATGCCAGGCACCGTGCGGCCCCACCCCCTGGAGCACGTGTCTAGGTAGTCTGGCGGACTAATATCGGTGAGTTTCTGCCCCAATGGGCACTGACAACCACTTTCTGTCCTGACTCTAGCAGCCCGTCTTTGACGCCCCATACTCTCTCCCTCACTCCAACCTGCTCACCCCTTTCAGCTGCTAACCTGAATAATTGAACCTCCTAGTTCTCCATCCTCCTTCGAGGCTCATTCTCACCCACACACCCACCCCCTGCTGCCACCGAAGGAGCTCAGGCTGGAGCCTGGGCACCTGGGTTCAAATCTCCGCTCTGTCTCCTCCTAGCAGGGTAACCTTAGGCAAGTTATTTAATCTCTCCATTCCTCAGTTCTTGGGCATGATCATGAGGCTCACGGAGTTGATAGGATGATAAAATGAGTTAATGCATGTCAAAGAGTGTTTGGTAAGTAAGTGCTGTCTTCTCATCATGAACACCACCCCCAGCTTATCTGTTCCCCCGGCATGATGCTCCCTTTGCACAGGGACAGGGTGGGGAGCAGAGGGACCTGCAGAAGAGGAACGGACTCTTGCGGGCAGAATTTGGAGATTGGATGCAATGTTGAATTGAATGAGAGAAGGGCAGTGAGAAAGGGAACAGCATGAGCACAGGTGGTATGGGGAAGGGGTAGGGCAGAGCAGGTTTGGGGAAGGGCTCTGGGGGAAGCCAGGGTTGATGAGGCTGGAAGGTTCATAGGTTGGGGGTACAGACAGAGGAGGGCTTTGGAAGCCAACCTGAAAAATCTACACTTGATTGGATAGGTGGTAGGGAGCTACTGAATCTAGAAAGATTGATTCTAGGTACCCATTACCCAGCTGTCTCACCAAACCTTGTCACTGGTTCTAGTAGATGAACTAATTTTCCAGGTTCACAATCTCCCCAGCTAATGATCATTTTGGTGTTTTCCCCACTCACAGTGTTTAATTCCTCTTGGATCTCTATCTTTTCTTGTACTGGCTAAAACTTTTTTTAGTTTTTGATTTTAATAAAGAATGTTACAAGTATTTCACCAATTAAGTATGACGTTGACTCAAAATTTAAGATCAGTACCAGATCAAAGAAGTATATTTCAATTCTTATTTACCAAGAGGTATTGCAAGGAATTAGTATTGAATTTTAGCCAATGCCTTTCCCACAGCTTTGATATAATCATATGGTTTTCAACTTTTGATCCATTACTATGATTTTCCAACCAGGGCTTTAATACTGAATCATCCTTGCATACTTGGAATCAACTTTATTTGTTCATGGTATATTATTGTTTCTAATATGGTTTGATCAATGAGACTGTAGATTTTTTGCATGGATATTAATAAATTGTGACACTAGCCCTTAATTTTCATTTTTGAAACATCTTTGTTATGTTTTCATATCAGGATTATGCTAGCTTGGAAAGATGAATTGGGAAGATTTTCTTCAGCTTTATATATCCTGGAACAGTTTAATAACAAAAGTATGTGTCCTTTGAAGGTTTAAAAGAACTTGCCCCAAACAAAAACAGAGAAATACTTGCCTGAACACTAAATGGACATCGTATATTAAAAAATAATTTTAAAAAAAGAATTTTCTATTTCTGCCAAAGTGATTGGGCAGTTCGTGTTTTCTCCTTCTTGAGTTAATTTTGGTAATTCATGTTTCCCTAGAAAATTGTCCCTCCTGTTGAGATGTCCACATTTATTAGTGTAGAGTATCTTTACTTTTTTTAATATCATCTCTCCTATGCTTCTGGTTGTACCTTCTCCTCATTCCTTTTCTTGATATTTGCGTCTTCCTTTTTGGATCTTGCCCTAGGTTTGTCTGTCTTACTGGTCTTTTCCAATAATAATTTTTGGGTGCATTTATTGTTGTATCTGCTTTTCTCTGTTTCCTAATTCTTTATCTTTTACTTTTTCTTTATCAGTTCCTTCCTCCTGTTTTCCCTAGTTCATTTCATTACTTTGTTGTTGTTGTTGTTGATGATGATGATGATGATGTTGTTAGAGAGGGAAAGAGGGAGAGAGGCAGAGGAAGAGAGACAATCTTAAGCAGGCTCTATGGCCAGCATGGAGCCCAGTGTGGGACTTGATATCAAGACCCTGAGATCATGACCTGAGCTGAAGTCAAGAGTTGGACACTTAACCTACTGGGAGCCATCCAAGTACCCCATTTTATTTTTTTATCTGGCTTCTTGAGTTCAGTGCTTTAGTGAAGCATTGCATTTTCTGCTTTAGGGATCAAGGTTTTAAAGCATGTGTAACACTGGCAGAAACTGTTGGGGTTCTGACCAAAGGCACAAACTCTTGTTGAAGAAAGAATCTAGTCCTAGGGGCAGGAGAGCTGCTTTCCAGTCCTAGCCTTGCCTCAAATCAGCTGAGTGTCCCTGGTCCAGCTCTTTCTCTTCCTAAGACCCTCTTTCCCATCTCAGGCAACCAGATGTGGGCCTTATGAGGCTTGGCTCCCTTGAACTTCCTGCACCAGGCTGCCTCCTATCAGGATAATGCCCTCTATCTTTCAGGAGACAGATTTGGCCTCTCTCTGATGTGGTCTTGGCTCCTATGCCTACACACATATCCACAAAAACTGCATAGTTGAATTTTCTTCTGCATGCCAGAGCCAATAAGCAATGGTGACAGTGTGGCCTGAAGGTAAGGCTCAGCCTGGGTGTCTCAGCCGAGAGATACGTGGATCCTCTGGACTCACGGTCAGAGCATAGCCAGGTGTATGTCCATGGCAGTGGAGGGAGTGGCTAAACATGTGACCTCTGTCATTGCATTTATGGTTTGTTGTTATCAGGGGTGTGAGCCTGGGGCAGTGCTGGGGCTGGAGCTCCGCAGCCTATCAGAGCTCCAGCCATGGTTATTTTCTCTGCATGTCTCACAGCCTTGTACCAATTAGTCTGACTCTTAGGCTCACTCTGGCTCCTCAGTTACCCTTTTTAGCAGCCCTCGGGTCACCAAATCTCTGTGACGGTGTGGACAGGGCTGTGTGTTGGGTGTGAGTGCTCTTCCCACCTCTACCATGATGCTGCTTAAGGTAGAGGAGGGTCCTGGGCTGATGTTACGAAATGTGAGCTCAAGTACCTGCTCTGCCTCCTGCTCCCTGTGGGATCTGAGCCAGTTGCTCCCCACCCACTGTGGGTCTCAGCTTTTCCATCCACAGAATGGCAACAGGGGTTGGCTAAGAAGAGCTTCAAGAGCCCTCCCTTCCCCAATTCTTGACTGCAAACGGAGAGACCCTTATGGGCTCCAGAAAGCTCTTGCTGCTCCCGCAGGGCCGCTTCTTTCATTCACTTAACAAATATTTGTGGGCTTCTGCCTTTCTGACCTTGTACAAATACTTGACCCTGGAGTTTACTCTCTGGAGAGAGGAGCTGCCACAGAGGGCCGTGAGGGCTGGCTCAGAGGAGGATGGCAGGAGGCAGGAGAGGGCTGGGGAGAAAACCTTCTTAAATCACCTTTATTATAAATGAAGAGACATGAGTGATGCTTATCACAAACTGAGATGCCCAATCCCAAGCCAGGGAGGTGGTGAGCAGAGGGAAGGGGGGAGCCACATGCCTGCTGTTTCATAAGGTTCTGGAAGGTAAGGGGAACCCTGTGAAATGAGGCAGCTTCTGGCTGTTGGCTGGACAGCCTTTGAATGACTGGCACTGGAAAGGCTGTTGGTTTATCTGGGGAACATTCACAGCCCATACCGTGTGCTGGCTTGGATTCTTTGGGGGAGTGCTGTTCAGAGGGGCTCTCTCCTTGGGCCACCTGCTAGTGGGGCTGAGCTCAGAGTCAGCTACCTGTGGTAATGCCTGCACCATCCCCCTGGGCCTCAGAAGAGGTTCCTGGGACCTGGCTTGGCTCTTCATGGTCAGGAGCTGCCCTCACCCAGTCTTCGGTGCCCACATTCAGAGGAGGTCAAGGTTCCACTTTCCTTACACTTTCTCGGTGCCATCTCCTTACAGAGTTCTGCTTCCTGGGGTTTCTCCCATACAGCGTGAAACCCAGCACATTTGGACACTCCGTTCGTTCTGCGTTTACTCAGGGCCTACCGGGTGCCAGGCCCGATGGTGGATAAATGAGGTGTCACCCCTGCCCTCCAGAAGCTGGCAGCCTGCAAAGAGGTGAACACATACCCACCAGAGTGTCTGCTCCCAATGGCGAGGCCTTAATCTCCACATCCCAGGGCCCAGAACAGTGGCTGGTACGAGGAGGTACACTTCCTGCGCCTTTGTTGGGTGAATGACTAGCTCTGGGCCAAAGGAGGCAGGATTTAGTAAGGACCAGATACACAGCTGTAGGGTCTGAGGAGGGAGGTGGAGTGGGAGGAGGGAGGTGTTTGGGCTGGCCTCCAAAGGTCAGTGGTGTTTGGCGGCTGCGTGAAGCTGGAGGAGAGGGTGCTTTGCGCAGAGGCACAGCAGAAGCAAAGGTTCGTGGAGGGGGAGAGAAGTCCGAGTGCTGCTTCAGCTCTCGAAGGTGAGCTGGCCTGAGCTCCATTTCCCCAGGGAAGCAGCCGAGCTGTCCTGGGTTCTTGCTGAGTGGAGCCAGCGTGGCTGGAGGGGTGTGTGTGTGTGTGTGTGTGTGTGTGTGTGTGTGTGTGTGTACGTGCATGTGTTTGCATGCATGAGTGACGGGAGGGAGGTGGGGCACACTGGCGTTTGACGCCCAGACGTGACAAATGTGCAGATGTCCCAGGAGCCGTGGACATGAGCGGCTGGCCATGGAGACACTCACCCCGTGATTTGTTGCTTTGATTCCTCAGGCCGTGACTTGGCGAGCACGACCCTCCCCGGGTACCCTCCGCACGTCCCCCCCGCCGGACAGGGCAGCTACTCAGCACCAACGCTGACAGGGATGGTGCCTGGTGAGTTTGCACTGCTGGCGTCTCCACAGCAGGCAGTGGACGGGGTTTCGGGGGGGCATCCCCCCAAACAGCCTGGGTGACCTCTATGCTTCTGAGAAGTGGACCTGAATAAATGAGGCAGAGGTCTGCACTCTCAGTCTCTTTCTCCACAGCTGGGCCTTAGTGGGGCCAGCATGAACCCAGAAAGGGGGAGCCTTGACTGTCACTCAAACGGCCCCTTGGCGGCCACAAGATAGTCTGAACACAGAGGGGTGCGGGACCTGGCCAGAGGTTGCCCGGCCAGTGCTCAGTAGGGGTCCTCCTCCATCCCCCCCGCCAACTCGTGTGAGGTGAACACCAGGAGGCTCCCCCCACCCCCCTGTTCTCAGCAGCCTTACTCCTTGGGGTTGAGGACCATGTGCTCAGGACACATGGGGTGTTGGCTGGTGGGTTTGTCACTTGATTCTAAACTGAATACCCTGTGGCCACAGAAACCTCATCCCCTCGGGCCAGCAATGTGTCAGTTTCTTTAAAGACATTTTAGAAAGGAGGCACCATGTTCCTTCCATGGTAGGATGGTGTGGGGAAAGACGACACATCATCATGGTGCTGGCTCTCTATGTACTAAGGGCATGAGCATTGCAGGGAAACCCAAAGTATCATTTTTTCAAAGATGTTTAAATAAATCAGGGGGGATATTAGGACCGGATTGGATGTTGTTAAACTTCTTTTAAGGGTCAGTATTGTTTGTTGTTCTGAATCATTTACCTGGTGCTGAAGCTCCTCCTTCTAGTCCATCCTAGAGGTCCTGCTCAGATAACCCCATGCCTCTTCCAGTCTCTTCCTCAGCCCATGTCATGGGCGTGTGCGGCCCGGGCCCGAGGATGGGTGGGGGATGGATAGAACTGAGTCTGAGACTGGGTGTTCACACCGACACGTGAGTCCCCATAGGATGATGAGAGAACCTAGGTCTGAGAAGGGAAGCAGGGCAAATTACAGCCTGGTTGGGCTTTCCACGTGCAACCAGGTCCTGGCACAGATGCAAAGGAGTCCCAGAATTCTCAATTCACTCCTGGCCTTCCAGGTTGTTACAAAGATGTATTTAACAAGGTAGGAGGACAGAGCATATTTCATTTAACGGTTTGTTAGCTTGATTTATGACTTTTAAATATGAGACATATGGGAAATGGCCTCTGCGTGTACTCTTGCCCTGGGCCTCCCCAGTGCCAGGGAGGCCTGCCAGGTTCACACCTGCAAAGAGCCTTTGCCTTCCTGCTGGCCGGATGGGTTATTGGCAGAGCATAGGGAAATAGTGTGCACAGGGCCAACAGAGGCCAGGGGGGACCCAGACCACTTCCCACCCCTACTCTCGGGAGATGGAGTCCAGGTCCTTCCCCCTAACAGCCTCTCACGCTTCTATAGCACTTTGCAAAAGGCAGAGTGCTTTCCCAGGAACCCTTTATTGTTCCAACTCTCTGAAGTAAGCTGGGTAGGAGTCGAATCCCCATTTTTCCAAAAGGGGAAGCTGAGACTCAGAGCAGTTAGGGAATCGCCCAAGGCGGCACAGCTTGCAGGTGGGAGGCTTGAATCTGGGTCCTTCCCTTTACTGCGCTGCCTCTGTGCGCTCTCACTCCATCACCAAGCTGCTCACGGATGGGGATGGCCAAGGGCCAGGCAGCCGCCCCAGGCCCTCCCCCAAGGGCACTCGGCCAGGTAAGGCTGAGACCACCCACCTGGCCTCGCTGGCTCCCCACTGCACACCCCAAGGAGGCCAAGTTCAGAGAAGCGGCTGAGCTTTGTTGAGTTTATCCAAACAGAGCCTGCCCTGTCCCCGGCCCTCGTGATTTCCCCAGCCCTAGTAACTGGGCCCAAGATACAAATGGCCCTGGGCGGCGGAACTCCCAGTGGGAACCCACAGCGATTTCCCGCCTCGTAACTGCAGCAGCAGGAATCACAGGCCTGAGGAAGCCAGCCGGACAGGTGCTACCACAGGGTGGGCCTGCTGGCGAGGTCCCCTGGCATGGAGGGAGGGTCCACGATGTGGAGGGAGGAACACCAGCATGTTGGCCGGGAGCCCCCAGTCTGCCTCCCACTCTCTCCCTTTCTTCTCCTTTTGCTTTCTCTTCTCATACAGCCCGGGTACTCATTCGCTTCCAGACCCAGTGTCAGGGCTGGGACTCCATGCTCTGGGGCCATGGCCCTTTGTTCCTGTTCTCAGGGTCCAAACTCTATCACATCTTTGGGATTCTTTGCCAGTATGATCGCCAAAGCTGTTTTTGAAATGGCTTCATGGGGCACTGCTGGCCCACCGGCATGGGGCCCCCAGGGCTGGCACACAGCAAAGAGGGCCCACCTCACAGCAGAGGGGTCTTGGGCCTGCCATTCAGGCATCACGTGATCTGGCCTCAGCTTGCCTTTTTGGTCAGCTGTCCCAGCTCACCCCTCTCCCGACTGCCCCCTGGTTCCCCGCACGCCCCACATTCTTATCGGTCAGTGTCACTCTTTGGTCTATTCGATCTTGGTTTATACTATTTCCTTCCTCTGCCTGTTGGGATCCAACTTTACCCTTCAGGCTAAGTAGAAACATCACCTGCCCCATGAAGCCCTCTGGTGTTGCCCTCCTCTGGGGGCTGCTTGGTACTTGGCTTTGTTATACCCCATGGCCCAGCATGTTTGTGGCCCAGTTAGCTATACCACTGGATGGTGGTTGTGAAGGTCATGCCCTCTGCTTTGTCTTCTGTACTCCTCACAGTCCCCTAGCACATAATAGGGAGGGGGGCAGGGAAAATGAATATTAAACTGTGGATTAACTCCTATGACTTGTCGCACAGTCCTGGAGCCGAGGGTTGTGCTCCTTCTGGAGGTTCTAGGGAAAGATCCCTTCCTATGGGTCTCTCTCTTCCACCTTCACAGCACAGAAAGGGTCAAGTTTCCCTTTCCCTGGTTAGGATACATAGGGCCCGCCTGGATAATCCAGGATACGCTACCCATTTTATTTTAAGATTGAATTTATTTATTCATGAGAGACACAGAGAGAGGCAGAGACACAGGCAGAGGGAGAAGCAGGCTCCACGCTGGGAGCCCGACATGGGACTTGATCCTGAGACTCTAGGATTATGCCCTGGGCTGAAGGCAGACACTCAACCGCTGAGCCCCCCAGGGATCCCTCTTCCCATCTTAAAATCCTTAATCACATCTATAAAGGGAACCCCCTCCCCCATTCCTCCCTCCCTTTTTTTTGGTCCATATAAGTAACATTCACAGGTTCTAGAGATTAGGGCATGGATAGACCACAACCTGTTTGGGGATTTCAACTTTGTTCAGACTTTTTAAAAAATATTTTATTTTATTTTATTTTATTTTTTTATTTATTCATGAGAATGAGAGAGAGAGAGAGAGAGAGAGAGAGAGAGAGAGGCAGAGGGAGAAGCAGGCTCCATGCAGGGAGCCCAATGTGGGACTCAATCCTGGGACCCCAGGATCACACCCTGGACCGAAGGCAGGTGCTAAACTGCTGAGCCACTCTGGGATCCCCTTTTTTAAATATTTTATTTATTTATTCATGAAAGAACAGAAAAAGGCAGAGACAGAGGGAGAAGCAAGCACCTCGCAGGGACTCGATCCCTGGACCTGGGATCATGCCCTGTACCAAAGGCAGCCTCTCAACCACTGAGCCACCCAGGTGTCCCTGTTCAGACTTTTGATTCAGTATCTCTTGGGCTTCTGAATCTGGGAGATGTTCATTAATTGTGGCTGTGCTAAAGGCAATACCATTTCACAGCCTTCAACACAGCCAGTGTGGAGTTGGTACAGTTTGAGAAACAAATTGAGCAAGGCTGTAAGAGATTGTTTAACCTGCGTTGGTCTGAAGCTGTAACATGGTAATGGTCTGTTTCACTATATGGAACAGTCGTCCTGCCTCCCCTAGCAGCAAATGCAGTGGGAACCTAGAGATCTTCTAAGTTGTTTTTTTCCATGCTAGGTTTTAGGAAATTTGGCTGCCTCCTTTTCTTTTAAGGGAAGACTTGCACATATAAAGTTTGCTTTTAGGACACCTTGAGGAGGAACTGCCTCCAGAGGGTACTTGGGCAGTTGAACTTTTGGCCCTGAAAAAAATAGGCATTACGTTTTTTCCGTATTAAATGCCATCTTGTTGGCTTGGACTCTGTATTTTCAGTCCTGATTCTGCCCTCAGGGTGTTCATTGTCTGACATTTCCGGCTCCAAGGCCTTCCCATGTGTGCATAATGAGTCTTCTTAATCTTCTCTGGTATTGGTTGATTCCATTTCTGCAAAATCTGTATATTGATCACTTACATTGAATAAAGCAAAGAGGGCACACATCAGCTTAGAGTGGACACAGTTCAGTTTTATTTTCATCAATTCCTAGCAAATACGAAAAGTTTTGCACCAAAGATTCCATAGTGTCTTGATCGGTAGAAGTACTTGATTCCTGCCTGGCGATATTTGTACAAGCTAACAGATATCGACATGGCATTTGAAACTCTTAAAATTTCTAGGCTCCCTTTGGCTTCAGTTAGTCTAAGCAGTCAGGAAACCGTATTTGAGATGACCCAATCAGGGATGTGCCATCTTTGTGCTGCCCCTTTAGGAGTTTTAGGCCAGAGTGCCAGGAAATCCTGACCACGTCCTATTTGCCTTCCTTGGGCTGCAGCAGACAAGAAGCTTATTGGAGGCCCTAGAAGGAGCACAGCAAGTTCCTCCTGGCCTGGGCACTGCACTTGCCATGGATTGGTGTACATCATTTCTAGGTGCTTTTCAGTTAAATTGATCAGTTAGGGGCACCTGGGTGGCTCAGTTATAGAGCATCTGACTTCAGCTCAAGTCATGATCCCAGAGTCCTGGTATCGAGTCCCACATCGGGCTCCCTGCAGGGAGCCTGCTTCTCCCTCTGCCTAGGTCTCTCTGTGTCTCTCATGAATTAAAAAATAAAATCTTTTAAAAAGTAAATTGCTCAATTAACTGATGGCTTTTATTTTCATAAAGAAGGGGGTGAAGGTG